TGACAACAAGATCGCGAATTCGAAAGTGAAAGCATCCGAAGCCCGCAGCTTAACACAGCAAAAGAGAAACTCCCGTTCACAAAATTCAAATCACAAATAATACTACTGATGATAAAGAACGGGTTGAATGAAACCACTTTCGTTTCCATATAACTATAAACTATGATAACAGTTCATCAGCATGCATGAATAATCCCATGTTGAAGTGCAAAAAAAAAAATTTTTTAATAAAATATTGCGACCAAATCATGTGCTCGTGCGACCAGCTGAGAAAGTTAGTTGCAAAAGAGCGACCAGTGGGAGTAATGAGTCTGGAGCCCTGTATAGGCTATACAGTGCATGAAAAGCAAACTGGTGCTCTTCTGTTTCTTTTGGTGTATGATTCCCCCTTGTCTGGTATAAAAAGCACAATAATTGCGGTTGTCTGAAACAACCGCGGTTAGATCAAATAATCGCGATTAGGACGGTTATTTAATTATCGCGACAGGCCTACATAAATTATTCATTGACTCTTATTAAAGCAACTGTATTAAAGTTCTTCAGTCAAGGGCCTTGAGATTTTTCTCTTTGTGTTTTGTTTTATTACCATTATTGGGATAGCTCACCCAGAAATGACTAATCTGTCATCATTTACTCACTCTCAAGTTTGTTTGTTTTTTTTTAAACCCAAATGAGTTTCTTTCTTCTGTTGAAAATTTTGAAGAATGTGTGTAACCAAACGGTTGCTGGTCCCCAGTTACTTCCATAGTATTTTGTTAATTTTTTCAAAGTTAGTGTGGACCAGCAACTGTTTGGTTACCCAAATTCTTCAAAACATTCTTCAAAATATCTACTTTTGTGTTCAGCACAAGAAAGAAATTAATACAGGTTTGGGACGACATGTGAGTGAGTAAATAATGACAGAAGTTTCATTTTTGGGTGAACTATCCCTTTATTAGGGCCTTTCGCACCGCTTTAGTTCCAGAACTAAATGTACAGTACTAAAGTACTGGGACGATTTTGCGCGAACTATTTCCCAGTACCAAAAAGTGGGTAGTTCCACAATTAGTTCTGGTACTATGAAAAGGTTCCCGCGGTGCAAAAGGCCCTAATGACAAGCGTCAGCATGTTTAGTACTGTCCCTTTAAGAGCAGCACGCATCTAATATACAGGCATGCATCCGTTTTTCTCTCAACTGTTTATTTTCACTTCAGACATAACCAACAGTGTTTACATGTAATCCTTGTGTGTTTGGCAGTATTAACTCAATCAGACGCAAAACATAACTTAGTCCAGTAATTAGGCACTTTGACAGGCTTTTTAGCGTGGGCACGCTTCAGCTGTACGCGCTCAGAGAAAGCGCACGTCAGAACAGCACTCGAATGAAATGTTTAACCGGCAATGCCTTAAAGCACATGCAAATAATATACTATTGCGATTGCAAATAAGTGTAGTGTCCCGTGGAGTAACTCTACCGCTGAGATAACATTTGATGTGAATTTATGTTGTGTTGTACAGTATATAGAGACGGAGGCACGCTGTAGCACGATACTACAATATTTCTTCAAAAGCAGATCGTAGAGACATTTTGATCATCCATGATCAAAAATAGTCATATCGCACACCCCTACACCCAATCAAAATATAAGTTCGGTTGAAGAAATTGTGACAGAACTACATTACTATTTTACATTAGCATGTATTTAAAATAACAATAAAAATATAACCAAGAAAACTTTAAGGAATGTCTAAATTTTTCGTCCATCTTTTGATTTAAATAACAAACCTCTGTTGTGCAGCACTTTGCCAAAAAAACAATTGTTTAAATTATTACATTTTAAAAGAATAATTATACCGTTCATGTTTAATGACTTTATTTGATTACCACTGTTTTCGATAATACATTTATATTAAATCATGAATCCAGAAAAATGAAACCAGACAACACAATTTCTGAAAAAAATAAAACATTTTATAGAGACCTTTTAATGTAAACATTTTTATAAAATTATTAAATTCATTAAATTCACTATTCATTTGTTCAGACAAGCTTTTTTATTATTTAAATTTAATGAAACCATTTCAAAAGAAATCCAGAAAAGTGAAATCATAAAACACAGAATATTTAATTGTTTTTAATTAAACAATTACATTTAATTTAATTGTTACATTTAAACAATTGTTTAAATGTAACAATTAAAGCAGGGAAAAAATGGAAATTGGGGGGGAAAATTATTTCATAGGGCCCTATAAATCAATGACAAAATACAGATACAATCACCATGAAATAGATTCTGCAAACCCATTTCATGTGACGCATTTCTGATTTCAAAAATATATTCAACAAGTGTTCAAAACTGTATTCAGAATTGTGAACATTAAGAAATGTGCATTAGAAAAGTTAACAAGATCCATGTTGATTTCATGCTGACCTGAGTTTAACGCAAGATCGTCTATATACAAACAGATAGAGACAAATTACTTTAAACTAGGGCTGGTAATTTAACGTGTTAATTAGATTAATTAATTACGGTGAAAAATAACGTTAAAATTATTAACACATTTAACGCACTTGCCCCGTCCCAGACCTATGTGGGTCATCTGACATTTCATACAGTTGATTGATGACAAATATGAGGCAGGGCAACAACTCACTGTGTGATGGAGCCTAGAGAACATAGTTAGAATGTCTCTAAAATTCAAGAAATGGGGCAAAAATGCCCGTTTGAGTTTTTGTCTCATACTTGCATCATTTAGTTAAGCAATATCACACGAGCAATAGGCTAAGGGCAATATCACACGAGTCCAAATGCGATACTAATCTTATACAACAGTTCAGTAAGTAAGAAGTTAACATTGTGTTATTTTAGACACAATGTTGTCTGTTTTGCTCAATTTTGCCAATGAAAATATAAAGACAAAGCAGAACTGTTCATCTCAGAGCAACACACAGCGGCATTTTATTTCTTAATGCACGTTTTGAACGAATTGGGTGAACCATTTGGCACATTGAACCATTGGCCATAGGCGCGTTGGATTTGAAGCGCCGCTGCACAGAGCAATGACATCAAACTAGCTATGACATCAAAGTATCGCGAGAGCGATTCAAAAGCATAAGGAGTCGTCTGCTCTCTATAGCTCTCGCAGTACTTTGATGTCACCCACCGATCGGTCTGATGGTGATGATCCGCTTCAAGTCGAACAAGCCTGGGCCTTTAATCATTAAGACGTTTACCACCTCCTACTGGCAGTTTTAGTTACTTATTTAGAAACTATTAAAGAAATAAAACTTATTAAAGAAATAATTTAATATTTCCATAGTCATAATAATAAGTGATAAAATAAATTATTAATGGAATAGTTCATGTAGTTCAATCACGTAATTAATTAGATTAAAAATTTTAATCGTTTACCAGCCCTACTTTAAACATAAGCTTTAAGTCAATGCAAACTCACCAACAGGCTTCTGTGCTTCAATGCTCTTTCCTTTGTAGGTATCAAACAGGTTGAGAGACGCATACTTGGTTTTGCCATCCTTCCCCTTTGCCGTTTGCCCAGAGCGCTCTGACATTGCGCTGTACGCTCATTGAGTATGTTGAGTCCTGAGACTGACAGAGAAAGAGAGAAAGAGAGAGTGAAAAGGGAGAACGTGATGCTGAGTCGAAGGGTGTCCCCTTTCAAGCGTTCCCATATTTTCAGGATCAAAATAAATTGCCAAACTGAACAGCCAAGTGTAGGCATGAAAGGAAGGGTGTTTGGTATCGTTTATGTTTTACTGAAACGGCTGTATTTGCAAATACTATACACAAGACCCAAATCGCTAATGTAATTTCTATGGGTGGATTTTTCTCTGTGTAGTCCTTTTCTTATATCCTACCACATATGAAAGCTACAAGATTTATCAGCTTTACATGGGTATGAGTATGGATATTCTGAAGACAAGAATCAGTGTTTTTAGGTTTCATTATTTATATACATTTTTCACAATATCTCTTAGAAAAAGGAGATTGAACACCATTAAGAAAAAAGGTCCGTTCACACCACAAACTTTAGAGATACCTACGGCACCAACACAGATCGACGATCATGTTTAGGCCTAGGTTATTATAAGCTCTTTCTGCAGTTATATCATATGCTGCTTTAGGCCCAATCCCAATTCTACCCCTTAGCCCTTCACCTTTCCCCTACCCCTCCGTTTCGCGCGTTCACGTGAAGGGGTAGGGGTGTCTCAATTCTCTTTTGGTTGGAGGGGTAGGGGTAAGGGGAAGGGCCAGATAGCCCTTCAAACGAAGATTTTTCGGGACCACACTTCAAACGAAGGGGTATGAATTATCTCACTGTAAACCGGCTTCAGCGGCAACATGGCTGCCCGTTTAAAAAAAAAACAGCGATTATATCCTCTCGTTGCTGGAAAATATAATGTAGCGATTCAGTATTTAGTAGTGGTGTCCCAATTCTTAGGGGAATATTTTCACTACCACTTGACACTCTGTTTCAAGGGACAAGAGGAAGGGGTAGGCAGAGGGGTAGGGGAAGGGGAAGGGGTATAAAATAGAATTGGGATTGGGCCTTAAAGTCATCAGCTGGAAAAAAAATTCTGAAAGCAATTCCAATGATAGTGTGTCATTTTTCTTATGGCTGTGGAGTGACTTCACTATTCTCAAGGAATTGGAATGATTATTAAAATGTTATAGTTACCGTCCTTGGTGTGAACAGAACTTAAATCTGAAATTAGGTCAAATACTTTATTTCTAATCAATCAAATTCACACTTAGGGGCTGTTCACACAGAATGCGTCTTTGCTAGTGGTCGACCGATATATCGCCAAGGCCGATATATCGGCCGATATTTTGCCGTTTTTAAATATCGGCATTGGCCGATATGTTTTCCTGTTTGGCCGATGCGTTCGAGGCGGGACTTTTTTTGTGACGGCGCTGAGAACGGCAGCGCCTGAGCACACAGGGCTCACATTCTCCCCCTTGTTCGCTGTCGTCGTTCGCTGTCGTCGTTCTCCCTCTTGTTCGCTGTCGTCTAAATACAGATAGAAGTCTGTCTAATAATCAGATAGAATGGTTAAACAAAGGAATTAAAATGTATACAAAAAGTCTTATAACGATTGCTTTTATATTATTAGTAATAGAAAGGCAAACAATATAATACTTTTTTTGTTTGCCGTCAGCAGTCAGCAAATACGCATTTATATCATTTAAACAAATCTTTGAATGTCTAATAAACATCTAATTTCAAAAACCTTGCAAACTTAGTCGGACCCAGTTGTGAGATCTTGTGAAGTGTGCATGTGTATCCTGCATGACCGCGTGTTCTCTGCGTGACGGTCGGTCACTATTTGAATGCTGAATTGCATGCTGACAGGAGGAGAGTTCAGCTTCTGAACGATGATGATGATTTCCGTTGCGTAATACGTAAAATTTTGAAATATTTTTACTATTTAAAATAACTTTCTATTTGGGTTAATACTTCATTCAAATTAATTAAACACTTTTAAATCGACTGCAGCAATCATATTTTGCCACAAAAAACGTGATTCTCAATTTATCCAGAATCGTGCAGCTCTAGTCCTGTGTTTTTTGTTTTTTTTGTACTTGAGTGCAATCAATTTTGGTTGAAAAAATGAGAATCGTGTAAGAGAATCGTGATCTCAATTCCCATGGAGAAAAATCGTGATTCACATTTTAGCAAGAATCGTGCAGCCCTATTTCACGTTGTGTCACGCAAACCACGGCAGCGCGCACAGTCTGATCGTGACTTTGGCTCCGGTCCAGAGACGCGATTGCATGGAGCGGATCATATGCGCGAGTCGGCATATATTAAACACTTTTAAAACTACACAGCCTCAGCATGATTATGATCACTATTTTGTTTTACTAAGAGTTTCATATTGAATCTAGGGGGTAATCTATTAGACTGTGGCTGTCAAATGCGGCTTTACCGAGCTCAACGGCTCTGACCCGTGCAGATATAAACAAAACGCTATTTTACGCTAATTTAAAAAAGGGGCTCGATATGCCCCGCCCTGTCTTCTTGTTTCAGTTGAAATTACGTCACCACATAGAATAACGCTGTGTGTTTCAAGGCACTTCAGGGGACCTTTAAATAGCTAAGCATTAATTTTGGCATACTGAGGAAAATAATTCTCAGTTTTCATTGCCATTATGCTTTTCTCAAAGCATAAAACATGAATAAAATGTTATGGCTTCTTCACAAAGGCACAGTAATTATTACAACACTGACCAAACTGAGTTAAGACTGAAAACTGATCTCTTTATAGACTAGGATGACTCAACTATGCATAGATTCAGTTAAAACAGTGAGAAAACTGATATCAAATCAATAAATACCATAAAACCATGACTTTTACTGGTGATTTAGCCTACTGCATTCTGTATATCACTGTTCAGTTTGTTTACAAAGGTCCTCCTAGGTATTATGCTCAACCAACTCAAATCAACCGAGATACTGGGGTGTCCCATATTATTAGTTCAACAGATCTCACAGCACATGACCCATGTTTACGCCAGACGAGACAGAAATTTGCACAAACCCATCAGACAAGCAGCAAGTGAATTCAAACAGTACCCAAACCCATTTTTTCCACTAAATTGTTTTTTTCTGTACAGTAAGCCATCAGACAACTGCTCATCAATTCATAATTTCAGACTTAGCAACAAAAACCATTAATGACTTTAGCACATTTTTTAAAGGCCAGAAAAAGGCAGTTGTGACTGGTGTTACCATGGTGATGCATTATAAATGTTGTTCCTCTGTTTCTGCCTTGCGAGGGGTTGCATCCATAGCAACACCAGGGCTGTCTTTACTGCTAGCCAGTGACAGCCACTCAACTCACACACATTCATAAAATCTATGATTTTAAAATAAACAAAAGTCATGAACTCCAGCTAACACTATTAAATCAAAAAGCTGCATTTCTTCACCATGCTGTGATATTCATAACAAAAGTCGTGTCAAACACTAGACAAAATTAGCAAGCAAAACCTCCAGTATGACAAAAACTGAAACTGCCTACATCTTGCCACCTGTAGATTAATTATCATGAAGGTACACAATCTGTTACCTGAAATACAAAGCAACATATTAAAAACACAGCGATGGAGAACCAGAATAAAAGATGTTGGATTTCTGCCTTGTGAGGGGTTGCATCCATAGCAACACCAGGGCTGTCTTTACTGCTAGCCAGTGACGGCCACTCAACTCACACACATTCATAAAATCTATGATTTTAAAATAAACAAAAGTCATGAACTCCAGCTAACACTATTAAATCAAAAAGCTGCATTTCTTCACCATGCTGTGATATTCATAACAAAAGTCGTGTCAAACACTAGACAAAATTAGCAAAAGTAGCCTCCAGTATGACAAAAACTGAAACTGCCTACATCTTGCCACCTGTAGATTAATTATCATGAAGGTACACAATCGGTTACCCGAAATACAAAGCAACATATTAAAAACACAGCGATGGAGAACCAGAATAAAAGATGTTGGACAGCACGGTTCTGCGTGTTTATTTCCCATTAGTTTTCACAGAGCTCACCCATTTGGACAACACAAGAGACTCCACAAAAATAATAATAAATAGCCTAAAGGATTAATTTAACTTTAAAATTATTTAAAATGTCTAATTTTAACAGTAAAAGACTGTAAACATGCTAGGGCAAAAACCTGTTAATTGGTAAAATGGCAAGTTCTCTTTCTATAAAAAAAATTAAATGATTTAAAAATATATTTAGCTAAAAAATGTAAAAGATCTACTGGGATATTTTGTCACTCTAAAATACTGTTAAATTAATGGATTTGTAAAGTAAAAATGAACAGTCTTCTCACAATTTACAGTGAAAACCTGTAAACTGACACTCCCACAAATTCCTTGTGACACTTTAACTTAAATCAGTTATTGAAATATAGGCCTACAGTTTTTACAGTAAATTTAATAGTGCATTTACACAACACCGTTTTCAACTAAAAACAAATGCTTTATGCTTTTTGGTAGGGGTGTGCACGAATAGTCGAACATTAAAATATTTGGTCTGTAATTATTATTCGAACAATAAAAACACTATTCGAATTTTACTATGTGTTGATTTGCTGGCCGTAAATGAAGGGAAGCCATGATCAATTCTAAGCAGTTATAACTAAATGCACTGGGTGGCGCTGTGGAGCGTGTTAACAAGTTGATAGTATTTGATCACAGAATGTCGTCATCTGCCTCGCGAAGTTTGGATTTACTTTGATCTAAATGATCTTACTAAATGATCTGACAAAATGTAATTACTTCTGATCAAATTAATTAGTGAAACTGATTTATCATAATATCACCACCACGTACTCCGATTGAGCCGAGAAGAGAGCGCATCTGATAGCTAAATGATCTTGAGACACATATAAAGGTTCCTCGAGGGAAAGTGGTTTAACAAAGCGCTAAGAAACTGTTAGCACACGTTATCTGTCAGCGCGTTCTTATTGTTATTAGACTGAGGAACAAACTTTCACCCGAGCATGTGGATATTCTTGTTTCTCTCAGAATTAATACGTGAAACAATGTAAACACAATAAATATAGGCCGACTCGAGTATATGTAATTGGCACAGT